CACAAGCGGTGACCCTGGTCCAAAAAAACAAAAAAAAAAAAAAAAAAAAGAAAGAAAAGTACATTCACATATTGACACATTACTAACCAGGCTGGTTCCCTGCCACAGTGTATGCGGCTCTGCCCAGCCCAGCTAGTTCTCTGGGGCCAGCAGCAGCAGGTGTCCGCTGCTTCTCACGATTAACTGTCACCTGTGGCCAGCACAGCTGCAGAAGGTGCAGGTGCTGGGGGCTGCAAAGGCTGCTAAGGTCTTTCTTTTCCCCTCTTTGCCAATCCCTCCACCCCTGCTTTGGAAGGAAACACGGCTCCTGCCCAAGGGGCTTCTGCTGTCCGGTCATTTGGGCCAAGCAGGTGGGTGCTATCCTGGGCAGGGCTGTCCCCGGGGCCAGGTCACAAAGGGGAGGGAGCAATTTTGTCCCCCTCCAGCACCTAGCCTGAAAGCCAGAGAATGTCCTGAGCTTTAGAAAAAGGAAGGAGGTAGCAATTTCACAAGTAAGATCTCAGAGGCCTTAATATCTCCTAGGACAGATGATTTGTCAAGCATGTAAAAACTTTTTGTTATGTCCCCTAAAATTATTTCCTAGTGAGTCACAGGTTTACACCCTGTGTAAACTGCAATAAACCCTTCCTGGGCAAAACACAAATTATGGATGGCCCAGAACCCTGCAGTCGCAGTGTAAGGGAGGGTGGGGAACAAGGAGGCTGAGTCAGGCTGAGAGTCTGAATCCAGAGGTGCTGGGCACACTTACCCTGGTGTTCAAATATAGGAACGTGAAGTTCCCGCACACAGCAGAAACGATTTCCCAACTCTCCCCGTAATACCTAACGTGGGTCTACAAATGGGCCCGCGAGATAGTTTCCCTTTTTAAGTGGCTCTACAAATATTCACCGTAGCATGGTTTCATTAGCGTGAATCAGTCCCGCTGTGGCCCCACCAACCCTGAGAAGGGCAGGAGCTGGCCCTAAAGAGGGCTGTGAACATCTTAATGACGCAAACCAAATCTCTGCCCTGCCTGCCGATGGCCGTTCCGCGTGGATTTCGATCTAACGAAACGCTACCGGGATAGGAGCATCTTGAACTGTCACTTAATTTGCCTTTAACTTAATTTCTCACATGAACACATATCGGGGAAAACTACAGAAATTTTGAGACGGACCCAGAAGTTTCGCAAGCATCTTCAGTGACAACTAGGCGAGGTCCAGTGCATGCTTTCAGGCTGAGTCTCTGCTTTTCATCGTCTCTGAAACACTTTTTATCTCCCTAGGTTACAGAATTCTGGTAGTAACACAAGCGATTCACATACAGAGAGACGCACATCGGTCAGGCGGAGGTGACCACAGTCGGTCACTGCCCTGACGACACTGAGGAGCTCTGCATCTATTAAATTCATTTCAGCTTCTCCAATGATGGATATCTTCTATCCAGAGATCGATCCAGCCATCCATTTCATCTGTTTATCTGTTTAGTCATATACATATATGCTCTTTGATTCTCCTTTGACCTATTATGACATCTCCCTGGCTCCCTTACTTAGTGATAAGTTAAATAAACTATTCGACCTACCTGCATTTTATATTTTTATGAGTTGCGATTTTTCTCGTATAATTATCCTTTAGCTCAAGGCTCTCCCATGGGGTTTTCCCTTCGGGAGTAATAGCTGACAATTATGCGGTGCTTATAGCGCTTTTCATGGGTCGTTCCATTCAGTCTGATGAGTCAGATGCTCCCTCTCTCTCTCCGTCTCCGTCTCTCTCTCTCCCTCTCTCTCTCTCTCTCTCTCTCTCTCTCTCTCTCTCCCCCTAACGAGGGAAGTGAGACTCAGATGAGACTCAGAGAGGTTCATACACACATTTGAGCACTCACAGCCCCTCTGAGGGGTGGAGTCAGTAGGAACGCAGGCTGGCTGACTGCCGTCCTGAACCCTTATTTCCTCACATAGTGCCTGTAGAAGAAAAATATTTCAGGACTTCTCGAAATTCCCAGAAGTACGGAAACCTTTGGCCTCGAACAGTGACAGAAGAGGCCAAAGTGTGAAACAGTCGAAATACGTGGAGTAGGAAATATTCTCCGAGTTTATTCTGGGATGTAATCTTTCACTGTGTTCCGTACAACTGTCTTAAAGCTTTCCGTTTCTTCGCAGCTACATTACCTGAGTAAACAGAATTGAAATAAATAGATCATAAAAACAAAAAGGCGGCTAAGTCGGGACAGGAGAATATGCACAGGAATACGCCGGGGGCACAAATGAGATTCTGATGATTTAGGATGAAGCCAGGAGCTTGTACAAACACGGCTAATTCTGTGTGAGAGTGAGGTAACTTAGCAGGGTCTTCAGATGTACCCCACCCAAATATCAAGGACCTGCTTCAATTGGAGCTGTTTCAAAATGGACCTGTTGCCTAGAGAAATAAACGTATATACACAAAACCCTGTATTCAAATCTTCACAGCAGTTGTACATGCAATTCCAATTTCCTGATAATCTAAAATCAGCCTACCTGTCCTTGAGTAGATGAACGGTTAAATACAATCGCATCCACGTCATGGAATATTATTCATTCATAAAAAGGAACAACCACAGGCACACACATGGACGAATGTCCAGAAATCATACTGAGATAAAGAATCCAATCCCTCCAAATATGATTCTATCTATAAAATATGTTTGAAAGAATAAAAAAATTTAAATGGAGGACAGATTACTACTTCAGCGTCTGGAATCCAAGACTAAAAATCTGAAACGCCCACAAATCAGAAACTTTTGAGTACAAACATGGTGCCACAGTGGAAAATTTCATACCAGGAGACTTTGTTTCAGGCACAAAAATCACTTAAAATATTGTTCAAAATTATCTTTAAGCTATGCATAACAAAGGACGAGTAAAATAAGTGAATTTGATGTTTAGACTTGGGTTTCATCTCCAAGATGCCTCACCTATACACATGCAAATATTCCAACAATATGAAAGAAGTCCAAAATACCTCTGGTCCCAAGTAGTTCAGGTAAGGAATACTCGACTTGTTAGGGGACGTTGGTCCAGAGGTTGGGGGTATGGGCTGTTGGAAAGAAGTTGGAGCAACGATACAAGGGCAGGAGGGCTTCCCCTAGTGTTTGAACTGTGAGGTGTCTCCTCGCCTGTGCTCTTGGATTTGGGAAACTGCCCAGGAGATGAAGCTGGATGGATGGAGATGAAGCCACCACCACCCACACTCAGACACAAGTGAGTAACAGTAACACTGGGAAAAGGCCAGCCAATCTGTGGATTCTGACAACATTAGCATCCTGGTTATGATATTACACTGTAGTTTTGCAAAATGTTACCCCTAGGGGAAAGGTCAAAAAACACACCTCTGTGTCATTTACCACAAATGCATATTTAATATATATTATCTCAATTAAAAACATTTTTTTTTTTACAATCTTGGAATTGAAAAATGTCTATTTTTAAGTTTTTTGTTGTTGTTGTTGTTGTTGTTTGTTTTTTGTTTTTTGAGACAGGGTCTCACTATGTAGTTGAGACTGACCTGGAACTCACTATGTATACCAGGCTGGTCTCAAACTCACAGGGATCCTCCTGCCTCAGGCTCCCGAGTGCTGGGATTACAGGGATGCGTCACCATGGCTGGCTGAAAAATGTCTATTTCTTAAAAGGATGCCAGTTTATATCAGCTAAATCTTGGACAGTCCAAATGTCCATCAACCGATCTATGGACAATGAAGATGTGGAGTTTTTTTATACAACAGCAATACTCTGCCATAAAGAAGGATAAGCTTGAGACATTTCTAGCTAAATGAAAGCGCCTTGAGACCATACTCCTAAGTGAAATAAATCGGATTTTGACCTCTCTGTTTAAATACTGTTTAAAGGGTTGGGGATTTAGCTCAGTGGTTCTACCGCCTGCCTCACAAGTGTAAGGTCCTGAGCTCGATCCCTGGTACAATAAATAAATAAATACTGTTTAAAAACATGTTTAAATAATGCATTGTTTCTGTGGTGAGAAACGGAAAGGACTAAAATATATAATAGATATTGGGAAGTGGGAAGAAAGCATTCAAATAGAAAGGGGAATAGGAATGGGGAAGAGAGAAAGGAAAGAAATAAAAGAACAGAAGGAGAAAATGAAAATAAAGCTTTTGTAAATAAGGAGGGAGTGGAGGGCTTGGATGGGAAGGGGAAAAAAGAAGAACCAAGATACATCATGTACAGGTCCAACTTCCCTATGATGAATGGGATCATTATGGATATCTAAAACAGAGGCTGGGGTTTTAGCTCCATGGTGCTGCCACCGGGCTCGAAAGCACAAGGTCCTGAGTTTGATTCCTGGTACCAAAAACAAATAAATAAAATGTACCAATAAAAGAAGAAAGACTGGAAAAAAATTAATAAAGGGCGCCAGTTTCCCGTTCCTGAAGGATACTACTGCAGAGGGGTGAATCCTGAAGCGAAATCGGGGGATCACTGCATTAGGGATCGCCTCCCACCCCAGCCTTTGACTGCACAGTTCTCTGGAGTCCTTCAGAAGCGCACAGAAGTCCCCTCCTTGTGCCGACTCCCTGAGCACGCGGTGGCAAAGCCTCCGGACCTCGAGACCTTTGAGGAAAAGGTCAGGCGAGCTGTTTAGCAGGTTTTATTCTACCAGCTCATGCATAGTTCAGGCTGCTACTTAGAACGTGCAAGAGGCTGAGAGGGAGCAGACTGCTCTCAATCAAAGGGGATCCTAACTGCAAAGCAAACAGGACCGTTCAGCACCTAAGGAAGATCACAGATGTTCAAGACAGAGAAGTGTTCTAGAGCCGCCGAAATGCCCAGCTCCTAAACAAAATGTTGCCCGGCGTGAGGTCAAGGCCAATTTCATCCACAAATACTTCTAGTGAAATCATTAAGTGGGGAGTGTCCTTGTCCCCAGTGAATGCGGCCTGGAGAGAGATCCCTTAGGTCGACTTCTGGAGAAGGGTTCCAAGACCTTTCCCCCAAGGGGCTCCAGTCCCCTTCTCCGGGTCCCTCTGGGTCGCTCTGTCCCAGGACCTGGCCCAAGTATGTGGACGCCAGGCCCAGCCTGTGGGTCTGGTGGACCCCAGCAGAGCCGGCTCTGACCGGGCCTCTAGCGGACCGCATCTGAGTCTCCTGTGAACACTGAAGGCACCGATGCCCCTGCAGGTGCCCGGTCTCCTGTGTGCCCTCCTCCGCAGCCCCTTCCTGCTCACGCTGCGCCTCCATGGATCTCACTGCCGGCACACACAGCGGAAGGGATCCCACCCTGGCGGGACCCGAGGGGACCTCGCATTTTAGTTGCTGCCGCCTAACCCAACACTACCCGCCACTGCCTGTCGATACATTTTATAGAAATTTGTCCTTTTCTCGTGGATAGGTTTTACACCCCTACTCAGAGGGTCCCGGAGGAAGGGGAAAAGTGGGGCCCATTGTTCTCCAATACTCATTGTGTTCCCTCCCTCTCTGCTGACCCAGGGGGCCCACTCGCCCCAGGGAATCCGAGCCAATTGTTTTTCCCAAGCCTGGCTCTTCAGGTGTGAGCTGCAGCCCTGGGCCACGTAGGTTACTGTAGTATTTCTGCAGCAGGAAAGAGGAAGGAACTTGTGACTCGCGTGCCTGTGGCATCAACAATGCACCCCAGCAGCCCCGGTAGGAGAGGAAGAGCTCAGTTTCCATAGCGATAAATCACCAGGAAGGGACGAGCCGGAGTCAGCCAGAGAGGCAGCACTCGGATTTTTCCCTTCCCTGAGCCCCAGCCAGCACATCCCCAAGCCCAGAGCTGGCTAAGCCTTCAGAAGGGCGGGTTTTAGGGGCATAGCCGCCCGCGCACCTGTAAACCCTCCGTGGACTCCGCCCGCGTGGCTCCCGTCCCGTCCCACACTGTGCGGCCCTCTTCCAACCCAGGAAGCCGCCCTGTGGGAGCGATTCGTGCCGGAGCCACTGGCCAAGTCACCGGGGCAGCGAGAGGAGCTCCTGGGGATCTTCGGGGTCCTCACACGATCTCTCCCTCGCCAAAATCGGACTCTGTTTCCCACTGGAAACATTCAAGTTGTTTTTTTGTTTGTTTGTTTGTTTTAATGCCCTGAAACGTCCTTTGTCTCAGTTTTCATGTGCCGTCCCCTCTGCGTGGAACACCATCCCCTGCCTATTTGGGCAGCTACCTCCCAGGGGAGACCCCGATTCCTCCTCCCAGGAGCCCAGCCGCCTTCCTTCCCCGGCTCCACAGACCTTGTGCGCCGCGGGTCGCGCGATCTTGAGAGACTTAACCTCTCTGAGCCTGCTTCTTCGAGGGCAAAATGCAGAGAAAGGGAGTATGTACCTCAGGGTGTGTTTATAGGATAAAACTTTTGTGTTTTTAAAGTCAAGGTTTCACTTTATAGTCAAGCAGGCCCTGAACTCACTATGTAGCCGAAAGTGGCCTCGAACTGTCAGTGATCCTCCTGCCTCAGCCTCCAGAGGGCTGGGATTATAGGCGCGCGCCCTCACCCCTGGTAGGAGTAGACATATTAATACGTATGAAGCACTTAGAAAAGGCTGGCTGCCTTCTTAATAGCCATCTTTCATCAGTGTCCCTAGGTTGAATTGCTTCAGCCTTAGTGGATGTTGAGAGAGGTGTGAATCTGAATCCACGGGTGGCCGTTTTGCAGCCCTGAGGCATGAGGCACAGCACAAAACACCTCCACCGCAAAATTTCCTCTAGTTAGGTCACAGGGATGGGGCCTAGGCAGCCGGGGGCCAGGATTTTGCCAGTGCAGCTTGAACGTGGCCTCCTGGAGCCTGACATCACGCCCTACCGCTTTCTGCCTGACTGGGCTGGGCCTGGGGAGCCCCTCCCCCCACTGGCAGGACCAGGCCAAGAGGCTCTCAGTCTCCGCAGCATCACGTGACCCTTGTGATCAGTAAGCACCGAGAGATTCAGATAATCCACATACCTGCTACGGGAGGTCGCTCCGATGACAACAGGCACTGCTGTGTTGGACAGCTGGTTCCTCTGTGGTTTTGCTTGAAAAAATGAAACCAAACTCTTCATGCAAATAGTTAGGTCTTAACTAAATTATGTAACAGCCGGTTCTCTCCCCTTAAAAATACAGCCTTCCCTAAATCTATAGAGACACAACGCAGATCAGTTTTGCCTGAAACTCAGGAGGGTTTGGGGATCCCTTGCCAAGGTGCAACAGAAGCACGTGGAATGGTAAAAGTGGTGATGGCTGAGCAGCTGTGCATATTTACAAAACGTAGGGTCCCCAGATTTACTAAATAAAAATCCAAGACCTTCAGTTAAATTTGAATTTCAGGTGAGCAAGAAATGGTAATTTTAATATAAGTACGTCCTAGATACGGACCCAGACATTGCACGGAAAGCACTTACACTATAAGATCATAAAAACTGCTCCAAACCACCGGGCATGGGACACCTGTAATCCTAGCGGTCTGGGAAGCTAAGGTGTGAGGATCCTAAATTCAAGCCCAGCCTGAGATGCAGTGAGATCAAAAAGGGTTGGGGATGTAGCTCAATGCCAAGGCCCTGGGTTCAATCCTCAGTCCTACTACAGCAACAAAGTGAAACAGGACCCTGCTCCAAACAGTGGATGCTTCAGTGGCTGTTTATAAACCAAGAAGCCTGATTTTTAGTTCATTAATTTATGTGTTTTGTTTTGTTTGCTTTTTTGGTTCTTTGACACGGGGTCTCACTATGTAGTTGAGACTGACCTGGAATTCATTATGTAGCCCAGGCTGGTCTCAAACTCACAGCGATCCTCCTGCCTCAGCCTCCCGAGTGTTGGGATTACAGGCATGTGCCACCACGCCCGGCTAGTTCATTAATTTAGGCACATAGCATTCTGGGTATTTCAAGTAGGAAAGAGAAGCACTCTTGAGCAGGCCCATTGTGAGCCAAAGTGAACCCAGACCCTCTGTACCCAGCTTGGGAACTGTCAGGTTAGTGACACTGAGGTCAATGCGCAGTTCCGGGTGGCTGCTGTGGGTGAGACAGCACACGCCGAGTAAGATGCAGCGCTGGGAGCTGGCATTTACTGTAGTACAAGGGTGGGTGACATGCACCTGGCTGAGTCCTAGAGGCTGGCACAGCTATGACGAGTCCACAGCACCATGCTAGCTGGGGGAAAGCTGGGGCTCAACTCCAGGGCCTTTGCTCTACTACTCTGCTCAAATTCCTCCAGCTGGAATTACGACTTGATGTAAAATCAGCCAAACGAGGTTGTGCCTTGTCTACCAGGAACTTTAATGAACTTTGCAGTGCTCGGCATTGAACCCTGGGTCTCACACACACACCGACCACATGTTCTACCACTGAGACACAAATAAAATCACCAGCACAGGCTTACCACGCACTGTTTAGGAACCACCACTGAGGGTAAAATCTTTCCAGTAGCAGGGATCATAAAATAAGAAAATAGAGAGGTGCCTGGCGTGGTGGCACACACCTGTAATCCCAGCCCTCGGGAGGCTGAGGCAGGAGGATCGCTGTGAGTTCAAGACCAGCCTGGGCTACATAGTGAGTTCCAGGTCAGTCTCAACTACACAGTGAGACCCTGTCTCAAACAAACAAAACAAACAAACAAACAAAAAAAAAAAACAGAGAGGTACTGGTGGTGAGAAGGTAGAACTTTAGCCCACTCAGATTTAGGAACAATTCCAAAGGAGCTGGTGGCATCTTTCACCTGAGATGATCACGATATCAGGAATGGATTTTTATAGGAGTAAAAGAAAGCAATAATATTCCCAATGTATTTTTTCATCTGTGAATTAAATTCCAAGTCCCTTGTTTAGTTTACCCCTTTGACCCAGATTATACAGTAGTTATGAAGGAGATTTAACTTTTTTTCAGTACTAAGGATTGAACTGGGGACCTTGAACTTGGGAGGCAGGCGGTGGAACCACTGAGCTAAATCCCCGGCCCTAACCTTTTTTTTTTTTTTTTAATGACACAAAAGAAAAGCAGAAATCAAAACAAGATGTTACAGGCAGTTACTGGGCAGTGGTCCAGCGCCACCTAATGGAAGATTATAGAGTTGCAGGGAAAATCATGTCAATTTTTCATTCGGGTTTATCAGTGGCAATTTCATCCTGAACAGCCACTGGACACTCATTGCTTATTTGTCTGTATGTCTGTCTGTCTGTGTCTTTCTCTGTGTCTGTCTCACTCTGTCTCTGTACCGCCGTCTCTGTCTCTCTCTTTCCCCTCTCCTCTCCCTTTCACACTGGGCTTCATCCCCAGCCCCTTAAAAAACTTTGTATTGAAACAATGTCTTGCCGGGTGTGGCGGCGCACACCTGTGATCCCAGCACTCAGGAGGCTGAGGCAGGAGGATCACTGTGAGTTCGAGACCAGCCTGGGCTCCATAGTGAGTCCCAGGTCGGTCTCAACTACATAGTGAGACCCTGTCTCAAAAAACCAAAAAAAAAAGAAAAAAAAGAAACAACGTCTCGCTGAGTCACCCAGAATGGGCTCAAATTTGTGACTCTCCTGCCTCACCTTCCTAGAGTGCTAGGATTATGGGCACCAGTGTGAACCACTTCAGTTCTTATTTCTAATAGAGATGCACCATTGATGTTGAAAAAAGTACATAAGATAAATAAGATAATAAATATTGAAATGATGTCAAATACAGCTTCCCCACACACAAATGTATTACCTAATAAGTATATAATCATACATACTTGCAATGCACTTTTTGTACCTTCTGTCCATCACAAATGAATTTCCATTGAAATACATAGAACATTATCGCTTTTTAAGGTCTCCAAAATATCTCGTCTTGTATGGGATTTTCTTCTGGGCTCATGCAAGTGTTCTAAAACTGAGTTCTTCTGCTGCCACTGCTTTGTGACTGTACCAGAGGGACCTGGACTCTGTGCTTTAAATGGGTGAACATTATGGGAATTATATCTCAAAAAAGTCGTTTTTAACAAAGAACAGATGCGAAAGTGATTCCAGCCCTAAGATGCTCTTACAACATAAGCCGCCAGTTCCCAGGAGATGATGAGCAGTTAGGTGTGGTCAGCTTTCTGTGATTATAAGCAGAACTGCTGGGAGGCCCTGCGTGACTGTCTCTCCCACTGGTGGGTGCGGGTGGAAAATTCCAGGTCTGCACAACACTGCTCTACAGCCCAGTGCAAGAATTCCAACTTTGGTTGGATGTGGTGGAAACCACTTCACATTTTTTCCAGTTTTTAAGTGTGCTGAAGGGAATTCCCCATTGAGAATGGGCCTCCCATTTCCCTCAGTGACCATGAGGGGCCGAGTGGGAGGCATGTTTTAGTTAGCACTCTGTCGCCAGGGATAATCAATGCATAAAGATAGAAAAAGCCATAGCGGTCCATTCCTGTAATCTCAATACTCTAGGAGGCTGAGGCAGGAGGATCATCATGAGTTCAAATACAACCTGGGAAATTTAGCAGCTTAACAAGACCCTGTCTCAAAATAAAGGTGGTTTTGTTATTGTTGTAGTTTGTTTGGCTTTTGACTTTTTGAGACAGAGTCTCACTGTGTAGTTCAGGCTGGCCACGAACTCTCTGTGTAGCCCAGGCTGGCCTTGAACTTGATCCTCCTGTCTCAGCCTCCTCAGTGCTAGAATTACAGGTGTGCACTACTATACCCAGCCATGAGCGATTTTTTTTTAACAAACCTTGATCTTATTGAAATGGCTAGCACAAGGGCTGGGGATTCAACTTAGTGATGCCACCACCTTCCTCACAAGCACAAGGACCCAAGTTTGATTTCTGGTACAAAAAAAGAAGAAAAAAAAAAACCCCAAAAGAAAAAAAAAAGAATGGCTAGCACGAATGAGCCGGATTGGATTTTCTAGTGATGTGGCAGCATTTGTCCTGACCTGAAATGCCTTCACACCCTACACCCATTCTCTCTCCACTAATATCCACCTCTAACAATCCCAGTTTTGATTTGCTAAAGTGGTTTGATGTGAAAGCTTGTTTGATCCAATTCCTTCATTTGCCAAGGTGCCCGCGATCAAAAGAGGAATTGTACACGTGTGTCTGAAAGCACACTCATCCAAACATTCACGAAATCCTACAGAACTGCTGAAGACAGAAAAGTAGTAGTTGGGAGTGGTGACCCACACTGGTAATTCCAGGCCTCTGAGAGGCTGAAGCAGGGGGATCTCAAAGTTTGAGCTCACACTAGGCAACTGAAATGACTTAGTGATGGGCTGGGGATTTAGCTCAGTGGTTCCGCTGCCTGCCTCGCAAGCACAAAGACCCGAGTACGATCCCCAGAACCTCCCCCCCCAAAAAAAATGACTTAGTGAGACCCTGTCTCAAAAATAAATAAACTCATACATACATAAATAAATAATTTAAAGGGCTGGGGAGGTAGCTCTAATTTATAGTTAGAAGATCCTAGTTATTCACCAGGTCCTAGGCTGAGCGGAGATAATTAGGTAAGGTGGCACGGAGGTAACAGAACAGATTTCTCATTTTCTGTCTCTTTCCAGCTGTCCGAATCCCCAGCAAGTCTGAGTTCAGCCACCTCACCACCTCTGACCACATCTTTCTTACAAGAAGTCACGGAGGAACACACAGCTTGGTCACACCAGCTAGTCAGAGTGTGTAAACTGGCCCTGATCCCGTCATTTCCTTCATTTGGTTAAGAAAAAGAAGAAGTCTTCACAGCAACTCGCCGCTGTCAGCGCTGCCCACTGTGAGGATCGCCGAGCCGGCTCCGGGGAATGTGGAGCCTTCTGAACAAACTGCTCCTCTGGGGCATCTTTTCTTCTGTCTCGTGTAGGACCACAGGCCATTTTGAGACTTGAATCTCCAAGCCAAAACGTGGAAAAGGGGGGCCAGGGACTTAGCTCTGTGGCACCGCGCCTGCCTCACAAGCGAAAAGTCCCAAGTTTGATCCCTGGGACCACACACACACACACACACACACTCACACACACACGCGCACACACACACACGCGCGCGCGCGCACACACACTGTAGAAAAAGAACTTTCTCATGCTTCCTTCCCCACCCTCTCTTTCAGTTCAAAAAACTATACTGGATTGTGACACCCTGAAAAGACCAAACGGTAAGTTTCATTTACTTCTCCCTCAGCAAAATCGTTTCTAATGAAACGGTGAGATGATCAGCTTGAAATATGAATATTCACGTGTCATGTTTCTATGCTTTCATTTATTTTACGTTTTGTTCATGTTAGCCAAACACCATCACTAGCTCTAGCCTCAACCCTTTTTACTTTATTCTGAGAAAGGATCTTTCTAATCTGCCCAGGCTGATCTTGAACTTGCAATCTTCCTGCCTCAGCCTCCCCATAATGCTAGGATTATAGGCATGTGCCACCATGCCTGGTTTATATACTCTTTTTAAAAATTTAGGGCTTGGGCCGGGGATTTAACTCAGCCGTTCAGTGGCCTGCCTTGCAAGTGCAAGGACCCGAGTCCAATCCCCGGTACCAAAAATCAAACAAACAAACAAACAAAAATTTAGGGCTGGAGGTCTGGGGTGGTGGAGCACACCTGTAATCCCAGCACTCGGGAGGCTGAGGCAGGAGGATTGCTGTGAGTTCGAGACCAGCCTGGGCTACATAGTGAGTTCCAGATCAGTCTCAACTACATAGTGAGACCCTGTCTCAAACAAACAAACAAAAACTGAGGGATGAGATGTAGCTCAGTGGTGCCCCACCTGTCTGGCAAATGCAAGGTCCTGAGTTTGGTTCCAGTACCAATACACACACACACACACACACACACACACACAAATTGATTTTAGGGAGGAAGTTGCACTGTTTTCTGTCTCCTCCCTGAGATTCAATGAGAAAGCACTGAGATTGTTTTTAGAATGGAATTTTTCTAAGTTTGTTGTCACTGGTGTTTTCTTTTTTTTTAATTAATTTTATTGGTACATTTTAGGTATACAATATAATGACATTTATCATTGGAAATTTGTACCTTTATGTAATATATATTGGTTCTTATTTTTTCCCCATTCCCTTGCCCTCCCTTCAACCCCTCCACACCTCTGTATTTAAAAAGATTTTGTTTCCATTTTTTCTTTTCTCATGTTAATTCCATTCCCCTCTTTCCTTTCCTCTACCCCTCCCACTTCCCCTTCCCCTTTGCACTTTTTCTTCCTATTTCACATTACCTATTATACCTTTTCATCTTTACACTTTCAGTTTCTCACACCAGAGAAACGATTCGGTATTTATACGTGTGTGTCCTACTTACCTCACTTAAGAGTATCATTTCACTATAAATGTCTCTGATTTCTCATTCAGTTTTTGTTTTTTGTTTTTTTGGGGTTTTTTTCGGTACCGGGGATTGAACTCCAGTCCTTGCGCTTGCAAGGTGGGCCACCGAACTACTGAGCTAAATCCCCAGCCCTTGATTTCTCATTCTTTATGGCTGAGTAGTACTCCATTTTATAAAACAAAACAAAACACATTTTCTTTATCCAGTCTCCCATTGATAGGCAACTGGGCTGTTTCCAAGCTTTAGCAATTACAAACTGTCCTGCTATGAACACGGGTGCACATATATCACTGTGATAGGATTCTTTTAATTCTTTTGGTAAGACACCCAGCAGAGGGATGGCTGGGTCAAATGGCATTTCTAAGCCTAGTTCTTTGAGGTATCTCCACACTGATTTCCATAGTGGTTGCACCAGTCTGCACTCCCACCAACAGTGGAGAAGGGTTCCTTTTCCCCCACAGCCCTGCCAGAATTTGTTGTTGGTTGATTTCATGATAGCAGCCATTCTTTGCTTTCCTTTGCATCTCTTGAATGACCAGTGATGTGAACACTTTTTCATATGTTTATTTGTTATTTTTACTTCTTTGTCTGAGAAACGTCTCTTCATTTCAGATGCCCATTTTTGGATTGGGTCTTTCAATTTGGGAGGTCTGATTCTTTTAAGTTCTTTATATATTCTAGATAGTAGACCTTTGTCTGAGGAGCAGCTGGTAAAAATTTTCTTCCACCTTGTGGGTTGTCCCTTAGCACTGTGGGTCATTTCTCTTGCTGTGCAGAAGCTTTTTAATAAGAAGGGATCCCACTTGCTCATTGTTTGTGCTAGTTCACAGGCAACTGGTGTTTTGTTTATGAAATCTTTTCCTATGACAATGACTTCAAGAGTTCTACCTAAACTCTCTTCCAGCTGGTTTAGTGTTTGTTTTAATATTTACATCTTTAATTCATTTTGATTTTAGTTTAGTGCATAGTGAGAGAGACAGTTCTAGTTTTAATCTTTGGCAAGTTGAAACCCAGTTTTTCCAGCACCATTTATTAAAGAGGCTGTCTTTCCTCCATTAGGATGTTTGGCTCCTTTGTCAAAGATGAGGAGCCTGAGTGTATCTGGAGTTGTTTCTGCATCTTCTAATCTGTTCCACTGTTCCTTGGGTCTGTTTCTTTGCCAGTACCATGATGGTTTTTTTTTTTTTTTTGGTTTTTTTGGTACCGGGGATTGAACTCGGGTCCTTGTGCTTGCAAGGCAGGCCACCAAACCGGTGAGCTAAATCCCCGGCCCTCCATGCTGTTTTTATCAAGTTGGTTTCAAGTTGGGGATTGTGATACCCCCTGCCTTGTCTTTATTTCCCAGAATTGCTTTTGCTATTCTAGGTCTCTTCTTTTTCCAAATGAATTTTTGGATTGTTTTCTGAAGGTCTCAAGCAGAAGTATGTTGCTGAAATTTCAATCGGGATTGCATTGAATCTATATCTCAGTTTTGGAAGTATGGCCATTTTCACTATATTGGTTTCTTCTTACCCAGGAGCAAGGGATGTCTTTCCATTTTCTGATATCCTGTTTGATTTCATTTTTCAGAGTGCTATAGTTTTCAGAGTAGAGGTCTTTGATTTCTTTCATTAGGTTGATTCCTAGGTACTTCATTTTTTTGTGTGCTATTGTGAAGGGAGTTGTTTCTCCAGCTCCTCTTTTGGTGAGTCTGTTGTGTAAAGGAAAGCTATTGATTTCTGTTTGTTGACTTTGTATCCAGCTATTCCAATGAATTTACTAAGTCTAAAAGACTCTTAGTGGGGTTCTTGGGGTTTTCTATGTAGATTATGTCATCTGCAGGTAATGACAATTTAACTTCGTTTCCTATCTTTATTTCTTTTATTTCTTTCTCTTGTCTAATTGCTGTGGCTGTTTCCAAAACTATATTGAACAGGAGTGATGATAGTGGACATCCTTGTCTTGTTCCTGATTTAAGTGTGAAGGATTTCATTTTTGGATCATTTAGTATGATAGATTGTTGGTTTTTCATAAGTGGCTTTTATCATGTTGAGGTAGAGACCATCTATTCCAATTTTTGTAGGTTTTTTTGTTCTATCATGAATACATGCGGGATTTTTTCAATTGCTTTTTCTGTACCTATTGAGATGATCATATGGCTTTTGTCCTTGGCTCTATTAATATAGTGTATTACATTTATTGATTTGTGTATGTTAATTCAGCCCTACTTCTCTGGAATGAATCCCACTTGGTCAGGGTGTATGACCTTCTTGATGATCTTCTGCATTCTATTTGCCAGTATCTTATTAAGGATTTTTGCATCTATTTTCATTAGTGAGATTGGCCTATGGTTCTCTTCTTTGGTTGGGTCTTTCTCTGCTTTGGGAATCAAGGTGATGCTTGCTTCCAGGAATGAATTTGGAAGTATTGCTTCCCTTTCAATTTCATTGAAGAGTTTAAACAGTAGTGGCAAAGGTTCTCTAAATGTCTTGTAGAATTCAGCAGTGAAGCCATCAGGACCTGGGCTTTTCTTGGTAAGTTTTTAATTATGTTTTCAATTTCATTGATTGATATTGGGTTGTTTAGAATTTTTAGGTCTTCGTTCAACTTTGGTAATTCATACATATCTAGGAATCTATTCATTTCTTCTGTGTTTTCCATCTTATTGTCATATAGGTTCTCAAAGTAGGTATTAATGATCCTCTGGATTTCTGCTGGTTCTATTGTAATTTCACCCTTTTCATTCCTAACTGCATGGATTTGAGTCTTTTCTTTCTTTCAATTTTTTTTTTTCTGAGACAGGGTCTCACTATGTAGTTGAAACTGATCTGGAACTCACTATGTAGCCCAGGCTGGTCTCAAATTCACAGGGATCCTCCTGCCTTTAGCCTCCCGAGTGCTGGGATTACAGGCGTGCGTCACCAGGCCCAGCTGTTTTTTTAAATAAAGTTGGCTAAGCATTTGTCAGTTTTGTTTATTCTTTCAAAGCATCAACTCTGCTTCACTGATTTTTTGTATCATTCTTTTAGTCTCCATTGCATGAATTTCTGCTTTGATCTTTATAATTTCTTCCCTTGTTTGGGAATTTCCTTTGGGTTTGTCCTGCTTTTCTTTTTCTAGAAGCTGGAGGTTCAGCATCAGGTTATTTGAGCCCACTCTGTTTTCCTAATATGCGTATTCACTGCTATGAATTTCCCTTATAACACTGCTTTCATTGTGTCCCATAGATTCCTATATGTTGTATGGACACTGTCATTTAATTGTAGAATCTGTCTAATTTCTTCTTTGATTTGCTCTATGAGACCTGTTGGTTATTCAGATGTATGTTGTTCAATTTCCATGTGTTTATGAAATTTTTCTGATTTCTTTTGATATTGATTTCCAATTTCATTGCACTGTGGTCTGCTAATATACAGGGGAGAGCTTCAATTCCTTAAACATTTTCTGTGAGCAAGTATGTGTTCTATATCGGAGAAGAAACTGTGTGCAGCTGAAAATAATATGTATTCTGATTCTGTGGGGTGGAACACTCTGTAAACATCTGTTAAGTTCATTTGTTCAAGAGTTTGACTGAGTTCTAGTATTTTTGTCATTTATTTTCTGTTTAGTGGATCTATCTTTTTGTGACAGTGGGGTATTAAGATCCCCCACTACTATTTATCAGTGCTTATTTGACTTTTCATGTCCATTTGTATTTGTTTTATATAGTAGGGTGCATTAGTGTTTGGTGCATATATATTGATGATTGTCATCGCTTCCTCTTGGATTTTTCCCTTTACAAGGATGTGGTGTCCTTTTCTTGTCTCTCTTAACAAGTGCTGGTTTAAAATCCATTTGATCTGCAAATAAGATAGCTACTCCTCCTTTTTCTCAGGTTCCTGTCCCATGGAGTATTGTTTCCACCCTTTAACTTTCAGTCTCTGAGTTTCTTTCTGAATTGTGTTTCTTATATGCAGCACATTGTTGGGTCTTGCTTCTTGATCCATTCTGCCAGTGTATTTCTTTTGATTGGTGAATTGAGACCATTAACATTGATGGTTGTAACTGATATGTATTGATTCATCCTTGTCATGACTTTTTGTTAGATTCTTTCCCTTTGCATTTAATTTCTTGTCATGCCTGATGGATTCATTCTAATGGGCTTCCTGGGGTTGTGACCTTCATTGTTTTTTCCTAGGATATTGCTTAAAACTTTCTGGAGTGTTGGTTTGGTATTCATGCAGTTCCTCAGGTGCTCTTTTGTCATGAAATTATCTTATTTCTCCATCAATTTTGAAAGGGTACATCAATCTGGGTTGGAGGTTGTTTTCCTTTAGAATTTGAAATACTTCACTCCAGGCTCTTCTTGCCTTGAAGCTTTGTGTTGAGAAGTCTGCTGTGATTCTGATGAGCTTTCTTTTGTTTCTTTTCTCTAACTGCTTGTTGAATTTTGTCCTTCTGTTGGGTTTCTGGAATCACAACTATTATATGTCTAGGTGTAGATTATTTTTTATCATAGCTAGTTGGAGTCCTATATGCCTCACTTATCTGTATGTCAAGTTCTTTTCCCCTGCTTGGGAGTTTTCTTCCATTACTTCTATGAACATTTTTTTTTTTTATGTTGTTTGCACTCTCCTATTTCTTCACTGACTCTGATCAGTTTTATGTTATTCTTTGCATCATCTAGCAGCTGCTGGATTGATGTCGTTGGTGCTTTTCAACCAACCTCTAATTGCTGTCTAATGATTCGAGCAATGCTAGGAGTGCATGCTGGGAGAGTCTATCACAGAATGAAGCTGCTTTGCTGTGACATGGGATCTCCATTTACCAGCTGCCACAGGGTGGAGCATGTGATATCACCATTTTCCACTGAATTTCTTTCATCTTTGAAGTGTGACTAATAAAATCATTTTCCAGGGAGGATGGGGACAACACTTGTTGTTATTGCAAAAAGAAATCAAAGTGCTGTTGTTCTTCCTCCAATCCTACACACCTCTCTACTTATAGAGTACACCTCTCTTACTATACACCTTACACCTCTCTCACTAGTCTTTTTGTAGGTATGATAATAAAAAGTTTTTCTCTGCTTTTTTTAATGGTGGGGAAACAAACCCAAATCCTTGAACATTATAGGCAGGTACTCTATCACTGAACTATATCCCCAACATTAAATAAACTAGTCGCTAACTTATCTTTTATTGTGTGTGGTATTGGCGATCAAACTCAGGACCTTGCACTTGTGAGACAGGCATGGTGTCACTGAGCTAAATCCCTGGCTCTGTATTTGTTTTGGATTTTTGTTTGTTTTATTTTTTGAGACAGGGTCTCACTATGTAGTTGAGTCTGACCTGGAGCTCATTATGTAGCCCAGGGTGGTCTTGAACTCACAGTGATCCTCCCGCCTCAATCCTCCTGCCTCAGCCCCCCGAGTGCTGGGATTACAGGCATGGGACACCACACCCAGCTTTTTTTTTTCTTTTTTTGAGATAAGAGTCTCACTATGTGACCCAGGCTGGCCTTGAATTCACAGTGATCCTCCTGCCTCATCTTCCTGAGTGCTGGGATTACAGGCATGCACCACCACACCTGGCTGGCTTTTCTCTTTTTTTCTCAACACTTGTACAGTATTTAATAGTAGGCATAATTCATTTAGTCAATCCCTGATTGATTGACCCACTTTTCTTGTAAGATGAACAATGGGACAGCAGACATCCAGGAAGAATCATCTTGATGGAGAGAGGAGATCCTGAGAGCTCTCTGTAGGGTAAAACCTTAGACCCAAGCTGCTGGGCAGATAGACGAGCGAGAAAAGCTACCTCAGTGTTTCATATGCGGTTGTCTCGTCACCTATAAAGCTGTGTATCTTCACGTTATTGGCCATGAAAGGTCCAGGAGTCCTAGGGAAAGGAAATTTAGAAAGAGTTATCTGGTTGGAAAGGGACCTGAGGTCTTGTTTGGAAGCTGAGCTTATGAAAGATGAGGAAATAGTGATAATCCAGATCCAACAGCAAAAGGGTGGTGGACCGCGTTTGTGAGCAGTACAAATGTGTCTGTCCTCCACTCGAGCCACCCACTGGTCCCAGCAGCACGGGATTCATCACCAGTTATGTTTCTTCTGGTGATTATCTATTCACACTCTGTGCCCACTTACTAATTTTTTTTCTTGTTGATTTTCAATTGGCTCAGGTATTCCTTAAAATTCTTTGGTTTTATTTATGATTTAAGTAGTTTCTTCTTGACTTAATTTGCCACAGAAAAGTTTTTAGGTTGTAGGGTAGTCAATACTTTCAGTTTTTTCTTTATGACTCCTATTTTTATGTGTCTTACTTAGAAGACTTAATCTTACCCAATATTGTAAAAAAAAAAAAAAATAGATGTTCTTACATTTCCCCTAATTCTTTGTCTTTTTTAATGATGAACAGTTTTTATTAAATTGCTTTGGAGGCTTTTTCTTTCCTTGTAGTGCTGGGGATCTATCCCAAGGCCTTCTTTGTTTTGTTTTGTTTTGTGATAAGGTTTCTCTGTGTAGTCCAAGCTGGCCTTGAATTCACTACAGAGCTCAGGTTGACCTCAAATTCTATTGAAGCCGGGACTGGCCTCAAACTCGTAGTCCTCCTGCATCGACTTCCCCAGTGCTGGGATCCATGTGTGCACTGACAGGCCTTGCCCTCTTGGCATTTCCAAGTAACAAAAAAACAAACAAGCTATCAAAGACTGCTGTTTGTCTTGGTGCTGGGTTTGATCCTCAGGCCTCAAACATCATGTGCTCTACCAACTCGCTATACCCCTAGGCCCAGTAGATTTTTTTTAAGACAAAAAAAGGAATCAATCAAAGCAAAACAGCAGACACATGAAACCTGACTTACATGCAAATGTAAACAAAATCAAATGAAAACAATTAGGGGAATTTGAATGCTAACTGGATAGTTGATGATTCTTTTTTAAATATAGTCAATTTTTTAGTTGTGACAGTTTCACATATATGGAAATCATTTAGAGATACAGACTTTCACTGTTCTGCAGTGACGCACAAGCAGCTGAACCAGGTTGGGTTTCTGGGTGACTCACAGTGAAGAGGGAAAATACATGGCACTGGAAGCTGTGGGACCATGGGACACCACAGCAGATAGTGTTACAGGCCCTTCGAGTGGGATTTGCACTTGCGTTAGATGATTTGAAGAGTCAAAGAAGTGGGCTTTGCTCAGGATTGAATAGTTTTCAGAAGTGTGAAAAATTCTATAGCTGGTGACTTAGTGATTCTCATCTAAAAGCAAGGAGAATAGGCTGGGCGTGGGGCACATGCCTGAATTCCCAGCACTAGGGAGGATGAGGCAGGAGGATCACTGAGTTCATAAATTCCAGGTCAGTCTCAACTACATAGTGAGACCCTGTCTCAAAAAACCAAAATAAATAAATAAATAAATAAAAGCAAGGAGAACAGAGGAAGGTTAAACTGTTTGCAGTCAAATTAAAATAATAATGACCTCCAAAATCTCGAAAGAAGGAATTTTTAGTTGAAAATAAAGAAGAAGACTGCAATCTGAGAAGCACATGTGCAGGCTAGGGTAGACTCTGGCATGTCAGAGGGACAAAGGAAAGGTTGGAGTTTTAATAGGGAGAGAAAAAAATTCTATGAGGGTTTTTTTTGTTTTGTTTTGTTTTTTCTGTCCTGATACTGGGGATCAAACCCAGGGCCCTCTCACTGAGCTCCATTCCAAACTCTTTATCATTTTTTGTTTTGAGACAGGGTCTGGCTAAGTCAACAAATTGCATTGGCTGAACTCAAATTTGTGATCCTCCTGCCTCAGCCTACCAGAGTTCTGGGCTTATAGGTATGTGCCACCACACTCTAAAGTGTTTTGAAAGAAACTCATTGATCCCCCAAATATAAAGACCCAATTCAAAAATGGGCATCTGAAACAGACATTTCTCAAAGAAGTAAAAGCAGCAAATAATCATATGAAAAAATGTTCGACATCTCTAGTCATTCAAGAGATGCAGATTAAAATAACACTGAGCCGGGCGTGGTGGTGCACGCCTGTAATCCCAGCATTTGGGAGGCTGAGGCAGGAAGATCACTGTGAGTTCTAGCCCAGCCTGGCTACATAATGAATTCTAGATCAGTGTCAACTACATAGTGAGACTTTGTCTCAAAAAACCAATAAATAAATAAATAAATAAAAATAAACTCAGGACCTTACACTTGCCAGGTAGGCTTGGCACCACTGAGCTAAATGCCTGGCCCCAACTTTTCTCTTGTTCAGTATTGAACTTTATGGGTAGAACAATGTGGAGCCTGAGATTTACTTTAAAAATAAGATCTCAGTTGGGTTTCGGCTAAGTCATTTAAAAACAAAAAAAAGAAATTATTTTATTTCGGCTCACCATTCTGGTGCAAGGCCAAGGGCTTCCCGTGAGGATGACCTTCTTGCCAGCAGGGCCCTCAGGGGGGGCAGATGTGCATGTGTGCTCTGGTCTCCCTCTTCTCATAAAGCCAGATGCATTTGTGGGACCCAACCTGAAGACCTTATGGAATCCCAGGTACCACCAAAGGCCCTGCCTCTACACGCCATCATTGCACCTCTCAGTAGGGATTCAACTTCCATGCAAGTTCGGAGGGATAAACCATATCCAAACCGTAGCAGTAGAAGGGGCTGAGGCAGATGAAATGGTACTGATCACGAGTTGACCATTGTTGGAGCTGGGTGATGGGCACATAGGGGTTCATGAAGTCTTCTGTGTGTTGTATTTGAAATGTTCCAAAAGAAAAAAATTTAAAAAAATAATTATCCAAACAAGCCATCAACACAGGGCTTGGGCATGGAACTTGGAACTGTGTTTATAATTTCAAGTCTGCCTAGTCATCGGTCTCTTCCTCTTCTCCTTCTTCTCCCTCTTCCTCTTCCTCTTCTTCCTCTCCCCCCCACCCCCATTGCTCCTTCTCTTTTTTCTTCTTTTGTGAAGCTGGACTTGAATCAACTATTAGGCAAACTGTCCTTGGAACTCGTGGAAATCCTCCTGCCCCAGCCTCCTGAGTGCCGGGATCATAGGCATGCATCGCCATGCTAGGCTGACCTAGCCAGTGTGAATGGAGCCTACTACAGATTCTCCACGGCAAGACTGTCACCCACCAAGCCAGGCATAGTGGAGCACGCCTGTAATCCCAGCACTCAGGAGGCTGAGGCAGAAGGATAGCTGTGAGTTAGAGACCAGCCTGAGCTGCATAGTGAGTTCAGGTCAGTCTCAACTACACAGTGAGAGCCTGTTTCAAAAAACCAAAAAAAAAAAAAGACTGTCACCCACCTCAGAAGAGTTCACCGGCTTGTGTCCTCCCTAGTGACTGCAAGGGGTCTCAGTAGTCAGGGAATGCACTGTCCTTGGCACTTTGCCTATAAACTATGGCTAGCCAACCACTGAGTTATCACCAAAGGATTTTCACAATCATTTTGTTTTCCAGATTTCTCTTCTCCGAGTTTGAACTCAAGTACTCACGCGATCACAACGGGTCAAAATGTGTCTCTAACTTGTTCCCACAAGAACACATCATTGCCAATCACCTATTCATTGTTTTTGCATACGAAACACCTGGAAACCAAGGAAGGCAAAGGCAAACCTGGGATTTTTTACCTAACAATCTTCAAAGCCAATGACTCAGGACCTTACAAATGCAAAGCTAAATTTTCCAACTGCTCAAAATACAGTCCCAAGTTCTACTTCACGGTTGATGGTAAGTAGACCACTTGCTACTGTGATCTGTGGGGTTCTTCCATGTTGTACAAAGGGTTGTCTTGTGCCCCTTGTACATTAACAAGAGCCTGATGTTAGTCAGCTTTTTCACTGTGACCAAATAACTGAGGAAACAACGCGAAGGAAGGGAATGATTTACTTTACCTCAGACGTTTCAGTCCTCTGTCAGCTGCGTCGTCCATTGCTTTCAGGGCCAGAGGGAGGTGGGAACAACATGGCGGAAGGGTGTGGCGGAAACAACATGGCGGAAGGGTGTGGCGGAAAACATGGCGGAAGGGTGTGGCGGAAACAACATGGCGGAAGGGTGTGGCGGAAGAAAGCTTCTCCCCGCCCTGGCAGCCTGGAAGGGGTTGGGGAGAGAGAGATTGAGAGAGAGACTGAGAAGGGGTTGGGGACTATAACAAATGGTGCGGAGGGATGGGCCACCTGAGCAGCTTGGTGAAAGCAAAGAGGAACAAACTTTATTCACCCGGGCAGAGACCGACTGACGGCAAGCAAGAGGCCGCCAGCTCCAAACAAAGAAAAGGCAGGAAGCTTTACAGGGCATTGGAAGAGAGGTCTGGCATGTATAAGGGTCAAGTATAAGGGTCAGAGCAAATATTTGTGGTCAGGGTCCATGCAGCGATCAAGACGGATGTACGGGCTTTTCCAGGTGACTTGGCCCTGAAAAGCTGCCGTACTGAGACTGTGTAGTTGTCCTCTCTCTGTTGGAACATCCCATCCTGTGTCCTGTGTCCTGTCTGCTCTGGGGTGGCGCGGCCCCGGGAGGAGACACCCGCATGGGCTGCCTGTTTTGTGGTGGTTTTTTGTTTTCTTGTTAAACCGTAGCTTGGCATTAAAGAGCATGTGCCTTAACCATTTCACGACCAGAAGCTTGACAGGGACAAGACAAACTCTTCCAAGGCAATGCCCCCAGTGATCTGCTTCCTCCACTGGGCCCCAGCTTCTCTTTCCATTACCTCCCAGTTATGCCATCAGTGGATACATCTGCTGATGGATGAAGATCTCTCGTGATCTAATCATCCACCCAAAAAGCACACAGGATCTCTGCTGGACATCTGAGATCTAAATCATAGTCTGAAGTCTGTTACTGAGACCTTTATTTTAATAATTCCAAAGGTCTTTCAAAGACCTTTTGACTATTTCAGATCACCGTTTTACATCTTTAGGCAAAACTCATAGATCTTGAGTGAAATTGTAGAAATTTTTTGAGATGCTTTATTTTATGATTTCCATCCTGTAACCAAAAAAAAAAAAAAAATACATTTTTTTCCCTTGGGACAGGGTCTCACTATGTAGTTGAGAGTGACCTAGAACTCACTATGTAGCCCAGGCTGGTCTCGAACTCACAGTGATCCTCCTGCCTCAGCCTCCTGAGTGCTGGGATTACAGGTGTGCGCCACCACACCTGGCTTTTTCTGAAGATTTAATGAAGAAATCTTGGACTCAGTGTTTAGCCCCATGGAGAATCTCTGTGTCCCCTACCTTTTCCCACCCTCTTCCCTTTGCAATGATGGTGCCTCCCTGGCCTGTGTTCTTCCTACCCAAACTCATCTTATTAATTTTGTATATCTCTGCTCTCTTCCCGCCACAAGTGTCTGATAGCTCAACACCAATGGCCTCGTCTGTGAAGGTGATCTTTATAATGCCCCCCCCCATGAGAAAGAAAGGAAACGTGTAGTTATACCTGGAGTCTCATAAACCTATGGACTTTCACTTTCTGATCAACTCTGGGTGATTCTCTATGTCTCTCTTATCTAGTATGGTAGTCACTAACCATATGTCACTATTTAAATTTAAATTAAAGTTAAATAAAATTAGTGAAGTAAAAAGTTTCATTCCATGGTCTCACGCATCACATCTCAATATCTCAAAAGTCGCAAGTGGCTGGTGGCTGCCGTACTGGACCGCACATAGAACATTTCCATCACTATAGAATATTCTATTGGACAGCAATGATTCCTAGATTTTTCTTTTTTGGTTTTTTTTTGGTCGGGGGTATGTTGAGACAGGGTCTCACTATGTAGTTGAGACTGAACTGGAACTTACTGTGTAGCCCAGTCTGGTCTCTAACTCACAGCGATCCTCCTGCCTCAGCCTCTCAAGGGCTGGGATTACAGGTATGCACCACCATGCCCAGCAACGATTCCCAGCTTTAAGGTCATAACTGCCTTAATAATCAAATGACAGTGATTGATACTTTGCTCATAAGATGATGGACATATATTTGTATAGGCAGAGATTTTTGCAGAAGGCTTTAGATGATGCTATGGGTTGCAGGTTAGAGCCAACAATCTTTTGGCATAAACTAAGTAGAAATCACAGTTGTCAAAGGGATATGCAGCAGGAGGAAAACCCCTGCAAACCCTGGAATGCAGTAGATAATGCAAGGGCATTAACTTAGTTGATAATATTTTCTAGTGGTAGGCAGTGATTACACGAAGGTGTATGTTTTCTGTGCATGACTTCCCTGCAGTTAACCAGAACCATTACATTGTCCTGTAACACTGGTTCGGTAGATTATAACACTATTTTATTTCCCTTGCTTAAAATGGCTGCCACATGGACTAGCAGCCTCCATGTTAAAATATGGATTCTCCCAGCAAGAGACAGGCTTTGTCTTCCCGTCATGCCTCTTCTCCCGCCAAAGAGTACTTACTACTTCCTCGCAGCTAGGGATGTCACAAGCCCCTCCTAGTGATGTCACTCACCTCCATCCCAGCTCAGGCTAACCCCACCCTGCTCCTATGAAAGAAGCTCCCTTTTGGGCCATGTTACTTCCTTTCCTTTGTTTGGAGACAGCCTGGCAAATCCTCCCCGTAATAAAGGCTTGTTATGGGTCTTAGTCTGGTCCTGGTTTCTGGCTCTTTTCACCTAACAACTAAGTCATCTTCACTGATGACAGATCAGCCAGCAGCTATCTGTCAACTGCCTACTGTGTGCAAACAACTGTGCCCCTGAGATGCCAGTGATGCGTAAGGCATGGTCATGTCCCCTGCCCCATAAAGGATGAGGGTAAAAGCCATCGACACAAATCCATTAATCATTGATGCAGGCATCACCTGTTTAATGAAGACCCAGATACGCCAAGCACCGGGTATCGAGCAGATCCTGTCCTCGCGGAGCTTACAGTCCAGCAGTGGGAGACACAAAGCCTTGCTACCCAAACAAAGAAACCACAAGTTATGCTGGATGTTGCAAAGGGAAGGAATGTGGCAGAGTGGTGGAGAAAAGTGGAGGGTGAGGGAGGACGCCTGCTAGGCAGGGTCGTTAGGGAGGGCTTTCCGAGGGGCTGAAGGAGGAGGAGTTAGCTATGGGGAGACACAGGGAAAGGGCTCTCGTCAAGGGACCAGAGCACTCAGAGCCCCAGCTTGGGGTGGACCTCAGATGGTCCAAGGACCTACAAGGAGGTCACACGAGGGGAGGTGACCCCATATGGGACTGGAAGGGGAGAAGGTCAAATTGCGAGGGCCCTGGAGACACGAGCGGTTGGATCCTTTGGTCCTGCAGGGGAGCATTGAGAGTCTATGCTTTATCCTTGAAGTTAATTCATTCAAGAGTGGAGGGGTTACGGGGCACAAGTACAAGAGGGGTGTTGGTTGAGAGACACATGCATTCATCCAAGACAAAAGCAGTGGAAGGACTCAACGCGTGGGGACAGGCCGATGTGAATGGACTGAAGAAATATTTAATTTAATTTAATTTTATTTTATTTAGTTTGGTACTGGGGATTGAACTTGGGAACTTGCACTTGTGAGGCAGGTGTGGGGCCACGGAGCTAAATCTGCAGTCCTCTGAAGAAATCTTTTAGAGGAAGAGCCCGCAGGACTTGCTGGCTGAGTAGCTTTGGAGTCACAGGTAGTAAAGATAAGGCAAGTACAAGAGAGCTCCAGATTCTAACTTCATGCGTACTATCCACTATAACACAGGAAAGTAAAAAAGCAAGACTTTTTTCTGCCTAGGTAGTGAATGATTCATTAACTAGGAGATTATCTAGAGTTCTCTTTCAAGCAGGCTAAGTTGGAGGCAGCCATGAGCCTTCCCAATGGATGATCCTGTCCCAAGAGGTAGTACAAGTTGCATGAGGGTGAGACCACATGCTAGAGGGGCAGAGGGAGCGGGGGTACTTCCGCCCCGAGGATTTAAGAAAGGTCTTACGGGAAGGCAGCGGCCACATGAAAATAAAAGACTCCTTAAATTATATATCTAGCTAGATAGATACCTGTATCTACATCTTATCTGTCAATTTTCTGTCTATCTTCTTTCTGTGTGGTTTACTGGAGAGCTGAAAATCACTGCAGTTTCCTCCCACCGATCATCTTGATTCTGTGAGGCCCTTAATGGTCCTGACCAACTCTCAGAAAGTCCACAACTTTCCCATCACTTTAGATATCAACCCTTGGCCCAGTTTCAGTCTCAGAGAAGCCCACACTCTCTGCTTCCTCATGAATGTTTCAAGTTCCTCTTTTCTGAAAATCACTGTGGTAGAATTCCCTTTCATTGCAAGATGTCCTGTGAGTGCTTGTCTCAAACAAAGTCGCCCTCTGTGGCTGCCACTTCTGGACGCCATTTTGTCAAGAACATTGTCACAGGGTTTCCTGTTCAGGAGAACTAGGGAGCAAGGAGGTTATAAATTATTTTCTTTGAATTTACTTTATTCTGGTTCTGTTATTGTTTCTACGCCAAACTGATATTGTTTCAAAAAAAAAAAATCATGGATTCTGGGATAGGTCCCAACGGGTGCTATTTTTATTTTGAAATGGGGTCCCATTAAGTCATTAAGCTGTCCAGGCTGAACTCAAACTTTCGATCTTCCTGCCTCAGCCTTTCAGAGTCCCAGGGTTACAGACCACGATGCCTGGCAGGGGCAGGTTTCTTTAACTTTCAGGAGCACCGCTGGTTCATCTTTGGATGGGAAGATGCCGTGAATCTTGCAGGACTGTTGTGATGGTCAAATGAGACGGTGTGAGTAGCGTGCCTGGCACATCTGAGACACTGAGTGCCTATTCCTGCTTTCTTTTGACACTGATTTATTATAACAAACCAGATAGATGGATTCTGACGAGTAGGCTTGACTCCAGTGCTTCCTCTTGAGCGTTTCCACTGGGCCCACTTAGCAGGGTTACTTCTGCTTTTTTTGGAGGAAGTGCAAGATATCTGTGCAGCTGAATTCTATAAATGAAAGTACAGTTAGAGAACATGATATGTTTTGGCTAGAATAAGAACAACTCATCTTCACATTTGGCACTGGATAATTTTCTAATCATGCTCATTATCAAGAGCAAACGCATGGTGACTTCTGTAAAGGGAACTTCAGTTCTACAAAGCAGGGAGATGGGCTCTACCCTCTGGCTTTCTCACACTTGGTCAGGCCACACTGCCAGGGGTCAGCCCTGTTGCCCACGGGCCCTGCCCAGCCCACTGTGAGCTTCTTGACTTCCTTAGAAGGAGGTATTTCATCTTTAGGTCCACAGCTTAGCAAAGGAGCTCAATGCACCCTGTGAATGAGTGAGTGTTACTGTCTGGATATTGCCTGAGTGTTTCCCCAAAGGCCCAGAAGTTTGGTGCTCAATGTAATGGTATTAAGATGTGGTGGGCCCCTGCCCTGCCCCATAGTGGAATTGAACCAGGGCTATCCCCCTGAGCTAACCCTCAGCCCGATGACCATGAAGATGATGATGATGATGATGTTGATTTGCAACAGGGTCTCACTAAATGATACAGGCTGGGCTTGAACTTGCGATCCTCCTGCCTCAGCCTCCCGGATTGCTGCGATTACAGATGTGCACCCCCACCCTCCTAAGCAGTGCATATAATTCTGGCAAAACTTAGCTTTTGTGAGAGCAGGTAGACATAAAAGAGCCAGCCTGGTCCCGCCCCTGCCTCCCTGCGCACATGCGTGCCCCTCCTGGTTGCCACCGTCTTCCTTACTGCTCCTCCCTCACACCGCGTGAGGCAGCCAGAGGGGCCCTGGCTGGAAACCATGGCGTCTGGACTTTCTAGTCACCAGAACCGCTAGCTGAATAAGCTTGTTTTCCGTATACATTACCCAGTGACAGCTGTTCTCTAACAGCAGTGCAGAATGGGACTGAGGTGGAAGCCAGTCTGCTCGTCCCTTCGAGGGGTGCTTTCCCGCGTCTAGACCTGGGCCCTGTGAGGTGCTGAACTCTCAGCTCAGTGAAACAGAGACCATCGTGCAGCCAGACACTGTATCCCGCTCAGCAACTTGCTCCCCTCAGTCATCCTTCCTTCCCCTAGCTCTTCTAGTGGGCTCTGGAGTTGCTCCCCGAAACTGCAGCTGCTTCTGCACCCCTCACCCCACTTGGGTCACCAGCTCCAAACGCGGGGTTCTCGGGTAGGGTCCGTGCAGTTACTTGAAGGAGTTACTTTCGGCCAGAAAAGAACACAGGAAGCCTCAAAATTGGGTAGGGTAGAACTCAGCCCTTACTGACTCAGCCCTGCTTTCTGCTCCACTCTTCCGTTTGTCTCTCTTGAGGCTGCCAGATCCAGATTTTCTTTGCTTTTGCATCATCTTTTATTGGCTCTTTTTTTCTGCGGCTGGAGATGGAACTCAGGGGTGCTCTGTCACTGAGCTACATCCCTAGCCTTTCGCCCAGGCTGGCCTCAAACTTGCAGCCTTCCTGTTTCAGCTTTCTAAGTAGCTAGAATCACAGGCATGGGCCACCACAGCTGGAGTCATTTACTGACAGCTAATCCTGTGCCTGCCCTCTGCTGTTTACTGGCCTGCTGCTAACATCGGGTGAATGTGGACCTCATCCAGCACTTCTTTTATCTTGGAGCAGAAGGGGCCCTTCATCACGTCTGTCTGGGGGCTCTGCACGGTCCCGTAGGCTGAGGGTCTAGGGGGCCATGGAGGTGTGCCTACCAGGACCCTGTATCCCACTTTTCTTTTCTTTTTTCTTTTTGGTGTTTTGAGACAGGGTCTCACTGTATAGTTGAGACTGATCTGGAATTCACTATGGAGCCCAGGCTGGTCTCGAACTCACAGAAATCCTCCTGCCTCAGCCTCCCAAGTGCTGGGATTACAGGCATGCGCCACCACGCCCGGAGCCCACTTTTCTACTTCACAGTCTGGATACCCAGCCCCTAATTCCTTCCCTAGTCAGGTCAGAGCCCACTTCTAAGGCCTTCCTGAGTCTCCTCCCACAGGGTGAGCACTCAGGATGAGCCAGGGAGCTGTTTGTGGGTGTCACTTGGTTGTGCAGGCTGGGGGTCCATATGCACGGGAGGCCTCTCGGATTGCAGGTTGCAGGTGAGAGCAGGTGGAAAGGAGGACAGGCTGGGGCTAGAACTGAGTATTAGCTTTCTGTTGCTGGGACAAAATGTCTGACATATGAAACTTACGGGAGGAAGGATTTAAGGGTTTGTTTTAGTTCATGGTTTCTGTCCATGGTTGGCTGACTCCAAGGCAGGAACATCAGGGCAGAAGGAAAATTACTCACCTCACTGCAGCCAGGAAACAGCATGAGAGAGCCAGAAAGGCAGGAAGGTCCAGAGGACAAGAATCACCTTCCAACTTATGCCCCCTGTGGCCTGCTTCCTCCAGCAGCACATTTAGCTATGAACCCATCCATGGGTCAATCCACTGATGAGGTTATTGCCCTCGTGACCTGATTACTTTCCAAGAACCCCATCTTTGAACACATAAGCCACTCCACCCAGTCACACTAGCGTTTGGTAAGTTCCGTTCAAGGAGGCATCTAGCTGTAAATCACAGCTGTTCTGGTTACTAGCTAGGTCCTTCTCATCTGTAAAATGGGAGTGATACCAACAAGCTACATAAGGCTACACACATACAGTGCTTTACACAGGGTCTGACATTTAACTGGCACTTAATAAATGGCGGTGTTCGAGTGACACAAATCGTGCCAGTGAAACTAAGGACTTTGCCCAGGAACGACGACTCGGGCCTTTCTGATTCTTGGAACCCTGGCAGTGCTGCCAGTCAGCTCTGTGTTCAGTGCAGAGTTGCTTCCTCTGCCTTGTCTGACACCTCGTGGAAGATCTACTTGGTTGTGACTTAAAGAGCCTCAGTGGGCCAGGGATTTAGCTCAGTGGCACTGCCCCTTTCTTGCACCCCTGAGGTCCTGAGTTCGAGCCCCAGGTACCCGCCCCAAAAAGAAAGAAAGAACCTCAGGGACTAACAAGTTAATGCTCCTGTGCTGCTTGTGTCTGTTGCAGTTCAGGTACTGGGTGCACAGTAGCCATCGGGACATGGCTCTGAGTGACCTTTCTAGAACACTTTCCAGGTCCATGCATTGGAGAGCTGTGTGGTGACCATCACATCTGTCTCCTTCCAGATGGACACAGCTGTCCTTCACGCCTGCTGCTGCTGCCGTTGCTGATTCCAGTGTCACTTTTGGTGTTGGTGGCAATAGTGCTGGTTTGTTTGATACCAAAATGGAAAGCAAGTATGTTCCTCAGCACTGATTTCCCACGGGCTCTGGATACGACAGCAGGGCAGAGGGTGAAGAGGAAAGGAAGGGGAATCAGAAATGTGATGGGGAGAAGTTGAAAAGAGGGGCAGCAGACAGACTTCCTGGATGGCCGGCCCACGGGACAGCCTTTCTTGATGTGGGCTGCAGGGGGCGCTACATCAGGATGTGCAGGTGGCGTGGTTATCCCGAGGCTTGCTTGACACTTGGCCGCCACCGTTTGAAATTCTTAGTAATTTTTGTATTCTTTTAAAAATTCTTTTTAAGCAATGGTAAATTACACAGAACATGTTCCGTTTTACTTCTTCTTCTTTGTGACACTGGGGACTGGGGATTTATGGACTCGCTAGACAAGTGCTCTGCTGCTGAACCGCAGAGCTAGCCCCCCCCCACGTTTGGGGCGGTACTGGAGACTGAACCCAGGGCCTTCACAGTGACCTACATCCCCAGCCCTTTTAAAACATTTTTTGAGACAGATTCGATCCTCAGTGCACGTGCATGTGTCTACACACACACACACACACACGAAAATCAGATGTCCCAACTTCTACAGCGCATACATCTAAAAAACATCTCCCCTGCCAGGGATTTAGCTCAGTGGTGCCGACACCTGCCTCGAAAGCACAAGGACCCGAGTTCAATCCCTGGTACCCGCCCCCCAAAAAAGTCTCCTCTTCTTATAGAAACTCAGGTTCTTGCAGAAGTGCCATTAATATTTTTGGTTACTGCTGAAACAGAACCAAGCTGGATCGCTGACTGTCTCCTGAAAATGTCACAAAGCTTCTTACAGATTCTTCTCTTTAGGAAGAAAGAAACCACATGTGACTGTTTTCCATGTAATCTGACTGGGGAAACACGTTCCTCACAGGCCCTGGGAGCGAGTTAGGGATGCACTGCTTGGAGAGTGGGTGTTTCAGATACATCTGTGGTCTGCCCCACTAAGCAGCAATCTGGTCAATGGAGTGGGTCACCCTTTCAGAACTCGGGGGGTTCTGTTGGTTGGCCAAAGAGACAGAGAAAAACGTATCTGAATTGGCTCAATGTAATCATTTTATACCAACGTATGTAGGAAAAGCTACGAGAGAGAATGTACCAGAGGACCCTGGAGATTTACCCATGGGAGGTGCACTGTACGAAAATGTCTGTAAAGATCAAGCAGGTAAGAGAACACTGTTGGGTCTTTGGGTGGGTTTGGTTGGTTGCTTGGGGGTTCTTGTCTTTTTAAAGTTCATCCAGAACTAAAGTAGTAGAGTAGAAAGTCTCCCTCCCATCTGATGTCCTGACTCACCCCCCTCACAGATAGCCTCGCACCAAATGAAGTTCAGATGTCTCCGGAAGGCCATTCTACACCTTAATTTTCTCACTTGATTTTTTTGCATATACCTTGGAGATTTTTATATGAATTCAGAATGCTATAGACTCTGTTCCAAAGTTTTTCATTATATAGCACTTTTTTTTTTTCATTATATAGTTTTAAAGATATTTTCGGGCCGGGGATTTAGTTCAGTGGTTCTGCCACCCGCTTCCGCAAGCACAAGGACCCAAGTTCAATCCCAGGCAACAAAATAAATAAATAAATAAAATGAAGATATTTTAAATTTTATTTTAATTGACAAATATGCCTGTAATCCCAGCTACTGGGGATGCGGAAGCAGGAGGTTCTCGAGTTTTAGAACAGCCTTGGGAAACTTAGCAAGACTGTCTCTAAATAAAATTTAAAAGACGGGGAATTTAGCTCCGCAGTAGAGTGTTTGCCTGGCATGCACAAGGACACTTGGTTCAATCCCAGTACAATAAAAAAAAAAAAAGTCACACGTGGTTTGTTGTTTTGAAATACAAACACACTAGTTTTTTGCTTTTGTTTGTGCAGTGCAGGGGATTAGACCCATATAACCTCTGAAAGGGGTCTCGCGTGCCCCCTTCGGGTGTCCCCTTCCCAATGAGGTCACTCACGCACCGAGACGTCCGACAGGAGATCTTTATTGCAGAGAGTCAGGCAGAGCACAAAGGCCGGGAGGCGGGGAGAGAGAGAGCAGAAAGAGAGAGGAGGAAGAAGAAGCAGGAGAAGACAAGAACAAAGAAAGGAAGGTCCTTTTATCAGTTTTGGGGTGGGCTATTGCTTATTTAGGAGGAGTGAGCTACTTTTAACCTAGCACAGGCCAGATTGCTTTTATGGGCCCAGCCCTGCAGACACAGGTTTCAACTTTCCTGGACCACTGTGGCCTTGTGGGGGGAGGGAAACCAGAGATAAGGGCATGAGGTCATTTTAGGAGCCAAGGTGTACCAGGGGAATGCAGCCTGTGAGGCGGCGTCACAGCATACTTTAACATGATCAGTTCCCTAACAAGCTCATACACGGTAGATACGTGCTAGTGAGAGCACATAACACCTACTTACTCTCTTAGTGATCTTCAAGAATCCAATACCTTTGATTTGGTTTGGACTGGTTTGCAGTACTAGTGTAAGACTCAAAGTCTCAATTCCACTCCACGGAGCGTGAACAGACAAAAAGGCCTCCACGATGCTGGGCCCTAAAACCCAGCGAGGCTCCCGGGAGCTCGACGGAGAAACGAGAAACCCAGGAAGGAACACACCAGGCTAGATGGTAAAGAGACCTTTATTAGTCTGGCCGGACGGCACTCCTGGCGCCAGGTAGCTCAGAGAGGCAACTGCTCAGGGGCTGAGTTCCTTTTATAGGGTTTTTCTAAACAAAAAGGGCATTCAGAGAACTACCAGAGGACAACATTCCAAACACATTGCTTATCTCATGCAGGAAATTTTCTATGGTCACCTCTCGTCATACCATTTGCCCGGCGGAGCAATTGGCATATGAAGAAGCGCAGTCTCTGGCCTATTAGCATGGAGTCACTTTAGCTTATTCAAGTCTTACACTAGGGATCAAGCCGAGGGCCTTCACACTGAGCTACAATCTCAGCCTCTTTTTAAATTTTTGTTATTTGTTTGTTTTGGGGTTTTTGTTTTGTTTTGTTTTGCTTTTTTGGGTTTTTTGAAGACAGGTTTTCACTAAGTTGCCACAGTGGGACTTGAACTAGAGATCTTTCTGCCTCAGCCTCTCAAAGTGCTGGGATTACAGGCGTGTGCCTCTGCAGGGGCTCAGAGCTGCATCATTTACTGTTGTGCTGTACAGTCTGTGCTCCCCTCTCCAGCAAGCATCACAGGCTGCTTTCTGATGAAGGAGACGTAAGGCCTTTCACTGTGACAGTACCAGCTGCGTTGAGTGCTTCCCTATGACCATTCCCTGCCTTAACGCAACACCACCACCTCTGAGTCATGACCTTCCTGTTTTGCAAATGGGGAATTTGTGGCCGAGGTGGGGTCAAAGCAATGTGTTTCCACCACACAAAATGGCAAAGGGTCTGCCAAGTCCACAGCCTTGACGCCACTGCCCCCGTGTGGTCAGAGACTCACAGAACTGGCCCTTTAACTCGGCCTCGTCTTTTTCCAGGCGCCCAAGACTCCCAGGAGATACAGTATGTTACCCCGGTCTTCCGAGAGTCGGCCCGCAGGGAGCCAGGTGAGCCACAGCTCTCCACAACAGATGTCACCGAAATGCCACAGAGGTTCCCCATGACGTCTCCATGACCTGGGCTTTGGGTCCAAGGATGGAGGGGACGGGTGCACCCCAGGAAGCAGCAGTAACTGATAGCTCAGCTTCTATAAACTCCCCAGGAGAACAGGGGTGGGAGGAGAGAGAGGGGTGGGGAAGACACTGTCCCCACAAGGAGGCACAGTCATTACGATACCAAAACATTTTCACAAATAAATTATTTACCTCAGTCCTGGAAAACAAAACAAAAAACCAGCTACTATTTGGTTTTGTCAGGCCACCCAGCACTTTGAAACAATTTCTTTTAAGAGGCCTTCTGACACATATCCTAAGTTTACTAGATTTCCGCCCCCCTCTTTGTATTTCAGAGCCCTGTCGTGAAGGTAAAACTGGTTGTGTCTATTCTGAACTCAACTTGTGAAATGTAAAGAAACCACTTAGTGTAAGACACTTTCTTAAAGGTGATTTACATGAAAACAAAGAAAATACAACGGCACTCTAAAAAGTCTAGCTTCAACCAGGCATGATGGACTGTACCTATAATCCCAGCACTCAGGAGGCTGAGGCAGGAAGATTGAGCGCTTGAGGTCAGCCTTGGCTACAAAGCAAGTTTGAAGGTAGCCTGGACTGCACAGAGAGACGCTCTCAAACAAACAAAAAACAAAAAATTAAAAATATGTAAAGTGAATCTCCATTTTTCATAATGAAACGTTATTCCTTTGGCTCTTTTGGATGCATACCAACCCTGTGATCAGACAGCAGCTTGGTCAGCTGGGACCCATTGGGAATTGTTTTAGAACACACGTGCTATTTGCAGACGTGGGCCCTTCTGTGCCTTCCAATACCCCTCCCCCAAAAAATATTTGTTTGTTTTGTTTTTGGTACCAGGGATCAAACTCAGGTCCTTGCGCTTATGAGGCAGGTGCTGGAACCACTGAGCTAAATCCCCAGCCCCCCAATATCATTTTTAAAATAACGATTCTTAGGCCACGGTGCTCTTAATAAATGGATCCTGGAGACATTCCAGTCACCATCTTGCTGGATTCCTCATTCCCAAGTCCACCAAGGGTTCAAAAGCAAAAACACAAAGCAAAATTCGTGTCTAAATACAGGCGACCCTACATCCCTGTAAAGGGAACAAAACCAAGAGGAAGACGTAAGAGTCATAAATATATAGGCACCAAATACCAGTGCACCCAACTCTATAAAACAAATATTAACAGACGTGCAAGATCAGACACGTGCTAAGACAATTGTAGAGGGGGAACTCACTACCCCAGTGTCACAAGTAGATGGATCAACTAGACAAAAAAATCAACAAAGAAATATCAGAACGGAACCCAACTTTTGAACAAATGGACTTAGTAAATGTCTATAGAATGTTCCACCTCACAACATCAGAATACACACTCTTTTCTGCTGCACATGGGGCGTTCTCCAAAACAGCACACATACTAGCTCATAGAACACGCTTAAGTAAATGCAAAGGAATTGAATCTACCCCATGCTTATTATCACACTATAGTGCCATGAAATTGGAAATTGATGACAAAAGTAACCACAAAAACTTCATAAACACATAGAAATTAAATAGCACCCTCCTGAACAACCAGTGGGTCACAGATGAAATTAAAGAAATTAGGCAGTTTCTATAATTAAACAATAATGCCAATTCAACATACCAGAATTTAAGGGACACAGTGAAAGCAGTCATATGAGGGAAATCTATAGCAGTGAATTCTCATATCAGAAAAACAGTGAGCTCAAATAACCTAGCGTTGGACCTCCAGCTTCTAAAAAAAGAGCAAGTCAAACTCAAATCTTGTAAGAGGGAAGAAATTATAAAGATCACAGCAGAAGTCAACTCAATGGAGACTAAGAAAACAATACTAAGCATCAATGAATTGAAGAGCAGGTTCTTTGAAATGTTAAATAAAATTGACAAACCCTTAGCCAACTTTACTAAAAAAAAAAAAAAAGGTAAGAAAAGACTCCAATCCTCCCCCGCAGAAAAGACTTAAATCCATGCAATTAGGAATGAAAAGGGTGAAATCACAACAGATCCTGCAGAAACACAGAAGATCAACAATACCTGTTTTGAGAACCTGTATTCTAACAAAATGGAAAACACAGAAGAAATGGACTGATTCCTAGACACACATGAATCACCAAAGTTGAATCAAGAAGATATAAAAATTCTAAATAGCCCAATATCAGTCAATGAAATCAAAGATGTAAATTAAAACCTACCAACAAAGAAAAGCCCAAGCCCTGATGGATTCACTGCTGAATTCCACAAGAAATTTAGAGAAGGCTTAATGCCACCACTTCCCAAACTCTTTAATTAAATTGAAAGGGAAGCAACGGCTCCCCAAATCAGTCCTGGAAGCAAGCAGTACCCAGATTCCAAAACCAGAGAAAGATTCAACCAAAACAGAGAACCATAGGCCAATCTCCCTAATGAACATTGACACAAAAATGCTCAATAAAATACTGGCAAACAGAATGTAGCAAATCATAAAAGAAGATTATACACCATGATCAAGTATGATTCATCCCAGGGATGCAGGGACAGTTCAATATTTGCAAATCAATAAATGTAGGCTGGGCGTGGTGGCGCATGCCTATAATCCCAGCACTCCGGAGGCTGAGGCAGGAGGATTGTTGTGAGTTCGAGACCAGCCTGAGCTACATAGTGAGTTCCAGGTCAGTCTCAACTACATAGTGAGACCTGTCTCGGGCTGGGGATTTAGCTTAGTGGTTCCGCCGCCTGCCTTGCAAGCGCGAAGACCTGAGTTCGATCCCCAGTACCAAAAAAAAAAACCCAAAACATAGTGAGACCCTGTCTCAAAAAACAAAAAAAACAATCAATCAATCAATCAATGTAATACATCATATTAATAGAGCAAATGGCAAAAACCATACGATCATCTCAATAAATGCGAAAAGCCATACAAAGTCCAATACCCATTCATAATAATTTTTTAAAAATACTGTAGAAAAGTGTAGGGTTTTATCTCAATCTAATAAAAGCCATCTATGACAAAACAACAGCTAACAAAAAAAAATTTTTGTATGTGTGTCAGGGATCGAACTCAGGACCTTGCACTTGCGAGGCAGGCGCAGCACCACTGAGCTAAATCCCCAGCCCTCCACCAGGTTGTTAAGTGGCTCTCAAGCGAGCACTGACAATGGACAGTATCAGAGCCCTCTGCAGTGGCTTCCGGTCTCCTGCTTGGTGCTACAACACATGGCAAGAAGAAAAACTTAGAGACAGAGTTAAAGAGTCAGATACGGGAGCCAGGATGTCCAGTGCTTGTGCAATCAGAGGCTTGAACAAGCAAAAGCCCCGAATGCTTAGAGCTGCTGCCATTTATTGGTGGCATCACAGTATAAAAGGGGCTATGTGAAGGGTCTACTTGGAGTTGCTATGGGTACGTTGCTGATGCAGGCAAGGCTTGTAAAAGAAGAGACAACACATTCTTGAATTAGGAACTGAACAAAGTATAGCCTGTGGTTAATAATTAACCTTGTCTTTTCAGTAAAGAGCATTTTAACTTTGGGAATAGAATTTGGGTGAGAGTTACTCTGACCTGGGCAGGCACATAGGGTTTAGCCAGACTTGCTCCTATAAACAAGCCAACTGTGGGGTTAACTCTTTACAGCCTGCACTGCTTACAGCCCGCTTTGGGCATCATCAACAGGGCGGTCCCCCACAGGACAGGGGATCCCCACGCTTCCCTCAGCCCTCTGGGCTGGCCCAGTGCTTCCCGCACGTCTCCTGGTCTCTCGTCTCATCCTGCTCCTCCCTGAATCCAGCATCTGAGCCACTCACTAATGTCCGGGAACATGACTGTGTCCTCCCCACACCAAAATCAGATGACCCAGACCCCAAGCACTGCTGGAGCTCTGCCTGCGGGAAAGATTCCTCCTTCCCCACTGCCTGCTGGACTGCCCTGACTGACCAGCAGCAGTCTATTTCTGAATCTCACCAAAATATCAAGCCAACCCAACCCAACCCTGTTTTTTGTTTGTTAGGAGACTGTGTCACCCGTTCATGTGCCTCACTTTCTGCCCTATGGATTTGCTTGGGTCTAGTGCTAAATGTCCCACTTCATTTATGCAATAGATTGCTGGTTTCTCCCCCGATCTTTTACTTAGTAGAGCAAATACTCCTCCCTTCCCGTCGGGCATCTCTGGTCACATAGTCACTGGAGATCCTGTGCTCCAGAATGAATTGTGCTGGACTGCCCAGTGGCACGCCAGGAGTTGTGTTTCAAGTGGTAAGTTCTTCTTTGGGGCAGATGGGGGCATGGCCTTGCTACGGAACCTATGAGTTGGGTATTTTCACACCGATTTATGACGAATACCTCTAGCATCCCTAGACCTGCCGGTCAGATGGCCTGAGCAGCAGGGCGGCCAGACTGAGCCTGGGTGTGAATCACACTCAAAATTTACAGTCTCCCCACTGGGTGTGGTGGTGCATGCCTGTAATGCCAGAACTATGGAGGATTGCAAATTCGAGTCCAGCAAGGAGCCCAGCATGGGCAAATTAGCAATTTAGAAAGACCCTGTCTCAAAATTTAAAAATGAAAGGGCCAAGGATGTGATGTAGCTCAGTGCAAAGGCCCCAGATTCAGTCCTTGGTTTCACACACAAACGTACACACCAAATCAGTGTCCCTTTAGATAAGATTGTAATCAGTTGGAGAGAGTTGCAGCTATGCTATGGACAGCTGTGTGTCTTTTTCAAGTGACTTTAAACCTTTTATTCTGGTAGGAATTAAAAGACACATTTGCCAAAGGGAGAGCTGTGCACCATGAGCACAGATGGTGTTCAACCGTCCCGCACGGCAGCTCAGGTGGGAACCTCCTGTCATCTACCATCTCCCGGGTCTGCAGTGGCCACGGAGGTGGCTCTGGTCTCTAGTGCTCTCCCCAGAATCTGCCATTGCTCCTGGTTTGCCATCTTGGCTGGGAACAGATGGGCAGTGTCAAGAGCCTGGTCCTCCTATAGAGATGGCCTACGGGGAACTGGGGGGAGGGCTCTGCCGGCTGTATAGCCACCCATTTCTACAACCAGGAACCAAGAAAATGACTGTAAGGTGGCTCTGCAGGATACTGGACCCAACCTGAGAAAAAGCTTAGACTAGTACTTGGCTTATTACCTAGCTTGCATGCACTCCGTCTTGTCATCTTTTTTTTTTGAGACAGGGTCTAACTATGTAGTTGAGACTGACCTGGAACTCACTATGTAGCCCAGGCTGGTCTCAAACTCACAGTGATCCTCCTGCCTCAGCCTCCCGAGTGCTGGGATTACAGGCATGAGCCACCACGCCCATTTTTTTCACTCCATTTTTAAAAAGCATCTTGAGTCTCGTGGAATCAGTTTCAGCACAGACCTTGTATCTAGCGGCCTGCAAAATTCCCCAAATGAACTGCAGCCTCTTTTCTTCAGTGTATATATACACTTCGTCTGCTAAAGAGCTACAGAAACCTTTAAGGAAGGACTGAGGAAATATTTGTCATATGCACTTGTTGCTTACCAGGGGCCTTTCCTCAAGATCTGGTATCTCTATCATTTGATGGGTGTGAGAAATGATTCAGATTTGGAAATGGGCAGGAATTCATGACTTCCCATTTCAATGTTGCTGCCAGTCTTCCATGTGGCTTCCTTGAAATCTTTTTCTTTTTTTGGTTGTTGCCGTATGAACAATACTGTCATTGGTTGCCTGTTCCTCTCACTCTTTGCATACCTAGGTCCTATCATGAGTTCTAGACATTCTGATCTTTTCCCCCGCTGAGGTCATCACATCAGCCTTGCCTCCCACACTTACTTATGTGCCACCACCTCAGCCCTGCTGCTGAGGAATTC